TTCCCGGTCCCCAGAGCAAGGGGGGAAGTCCCGGGGTGGGGTACCCGAGCGCAGCCTGTGGGACCCCCCCAAGCCGCCCCCGGGGCAGCAGACGACAGAACCATGGGCTCAGCAAAGCCCCATCAGGGCCGCGTCCTCCCAACCGCCGCAGGCTGCGGCCGCGCTTCCAGAACCTCCCGACGCTGAGCTGGTGCGGCGGCAACGGTTGGGCTCCGCCAGCGCGGGGGAGAAAAGCGCCCACCCGTTGAGGAGGGCGATGACGCCACGGCAGCAGCGTGGAGAAACCCCAAAGCGTTCGTGAAGCTTCGCCTGCTCGAGGGAGGAGAAAGGAGACAACCTGGAGCTCCATTCTGAGACCCTAGAGGCTTCGGTGATGTCTCCGGATGCTGCCGCCTGCCCCGGCCCCCTCCGGCGGCACAGGGAGCTCGGCGTGGCAAGCGGAGGAGCGTCGTGCTCCCAGGAAAAGTTGGGGGCCCTGCCAGAATGTGGGTTCCAGCGAAGCACCGGTGGCCATGGATCTGCTGCCGGCAGGTGCCGAAGCCATCAGGGGCTTCACTCGCGGCCCCTCGGCCAGGCTGGGGGAGAGGGTTCGCACCAGGACGCCTCCAGGGCTCCCGGGAACGGCGCGGGGGCTGGCTGCGGGTGTCAGGACGCTCCATACCACACCGAAACACAGCGACCGGCTGCAGACACGGTGAAGGGCATCATGCTGGGGCGTCCGGAATGCTCCCCACGTTTCTCTGTCCCAGACCGAACTGCTGCAGCACCCACTGCTGAAAACCATCAATAACCAGCAGCCTCACCTCCTTTTTAAGAACCAAACAGGCAGAAATTGGGTTTCTCCCGAGTTTTTTCCAGTCATGCACCTCCTCGGGTGACGAGGCCCATTCCAGTTTCACTGCCCGGACCTCAGATGTGGCCTAAAAGGTGCCAGATCTCCCTACGTAGCACCAGTTAATTCTGGTTTTACTGCTTGGCGGCAACTGGTAGCTGGACATCTCTGTGAAATACCTCCAGCAGTGGAGAAGAACTGCGGGCTGATGCATTTTTATTGTTTAATATCCTGCCAACTGTATTTTAATATGAAATTTCTGCCGCTCTGGCCCTGCTCTGGATGAAGATGTGACGTTCATGTGGTGAAGAAAAGCCGGGGCTCGTGCCCTGGGCTCTTCTCTGATGCCCCAGAAAATGGACGCCGCTCACCAACGAGCCGCTTTCTCCCCACGTGGCCTCATCCCAGAGGGAGCCCGGCAGGGGCAGATTCCTCAACCCCACTTGCTTTTCCCGAGGCTGTGGGCGGATGCCTCTGCTTCCCCCAAAGGCATCGTGCCCTTGGGGTGCTGGGGCCCTTTTCTTTCATGCCATTTAACCCCAAACTCCAGCCCCCAAAGGTGCCCAGCCTGAAGGGCCCAAAAGCAATTTTCACCTCTCTAATTAGAGCAGAATCCTGCACGGTGCTGACAGCTGTGGACGCCGGTATCGGTCAGGGCAGTGCCGGCATCCGGGACCTGCCTTTCCCTTGGCTCAAGGAGCACATTGGCCATGACGCCGCTTTTATTCTTCCTCTCACGTGTGGATAATAACTGTTTTTATTCAGGGCTTTATTTATCTCTCATTCATCACTGCTCTGGTGGACGCGCCTCTGCTCGTTTAACTTCCTCCTGGCTACTTGAATCCGAGGTCCCCGGCCCAGCTGGTCCCGGCAGGGCCGGTTTTGCCAGGCGGCACGTGGCGCCGGGGCCTCCTCTCCGCCGCTCCGAAGCGCTCGAGGGCCCGCAGGAGGGATGTGGAAAAGGCCTCTGGTTTACTGCAGAGCTTCGCGCTGCACGGTGCAGAGGAGGCGCGTTTGGGGCGTCATTAGCCTCGTTTAGCGGGCAGCGGGTCCGCCTGCTCCCACTTTCTCACCCCACAAGGCAAGCGCCCGATTGTCTTTACAGCCGGTGATACCCAAGTGTCAGCAGTTCCTGCTTGTATGCCAAGAGGCCGTCAGTAGTGTTATAGCATCACATTTCTTACTGAACCAAGCATTGTTTTGTTTGGGTTTTTTAAATATTTCTCTCATTTTTTAACTTCTTTTTCCCCCGTGGGACTGTGACACTTAAAATCTGAGGGAGCTACCCAAGCTCCCAGAGAAGTGGCCTCTCCTCAGGCCCGTGTCAGGTTCCGTTCCTCAGCCCTCCTTCCTGTGAAACCTTGCTGATTAGCATTAATTATTTCTGCCTTTAATTCTTTATTGCCAGGCTGCAGTCCTGCCCTCTCCGCCGCCTTGCCCAGATCGATGTCAGGTTAAATTACAATGTTTTCTGCTCTGACCTTCCTCTTCGCTCCTTCCCTTTGGTGGCCACGTGGTCGGTGGGTCTATGCAGGCCCTGTATCTGTGCTGAATTTCACTCAGAAGACCTGAAAGATTGCCTTTTTTTTTTTTCCCCAGCTTGTTTTCTGACAAACCCTGTCTTGATTTAAGCCTGTGTGGGCCCAAGGGTTTGTCTAGGACGGGATGGGTGCTGGATATACCCTGAGAGGGGAGGATTTAGGGCCAGACGCTGCTGCCGTCTGTTGTCCTTGGCTTGTCCTGGGGGTTATGGGGAATAACGCTGTGGGTGCCGTGTTCCTCACTGGGAAAGGAGCCAGAGTGCAAGACAAGGTGGGGAAAAAGTGCCCCTTTATTTCCTTTTCCCCCCTTCTACAGCTTCAGCAACTGGTTTGTTAGAAAACTCAGAGCCTCTGTGCTTGGGGAGAGGAGCCAGAGGCTTCCCCAGCTGTCGAGTGGCATCTTCAGCCGTGGAAATCTCGAAGGGGGAAAGTCATCTTCACCTGCATCCCTGGGATACAGCCAGGGAACTGCAGTGACATTGCGAGGGGTGCAGAAACACGGGTGGAAAAAAAAGACCCAACAGAGGTGTCTTGTGGCTGCCGGCCCCAGTGCTCCAGGTCTTGGTGCCTTGGCTTTGGACCGGCAGCGAGGAAGCCCCGGGGTCGTGCCTCTGCATTACCCACCCAGCTGGAGGGTGCCATTCCCCCCAGATGTGGGATCCCCGTGCCCTTCACTGGAGGAAGAGTACGTCTGGGGTCAGGGTGACTCTGGCACTGCCTTCCTCCCCCCGTGTCAGGTGCCACCGGACCAAGTTTTTTATTTTTATGCTTCCCGAGAGGAGGAAATAATTTTCTTCCAGCTACTGTTCCCCGTGCATGGGAAGACAGGACATGAAGCCTCACATGGGAGAAGCAGCAGCAGGATGCTGCTGAGAGGAGGCAAAGAGTTAGAGATCTCCTTCGGTGACCTCGGGGGTAAATTGTTTGGTTCGGCTGCGGTAAAGTCACCACCTTTTCAGATTTGGGACTTACTCAACGAGCAGCGCCGGCACAGGGATGTCCCTGCTGCCTGCATCGGTTTTCACCTCCTTTTCCTTCTGCTCGGCCTCCCAGGGCATGGCTGGAAGCGAACGCAGGGAACAAAACGAAGCGGAGTGCAGCGTGAGCCTGTGAAAAATCAGCTTTTCTCTTTGGTGTCTGAGCAGACAAGCTGCCTGCAGCCTGTTAATAAATAACGACCTGTTTGCTTTGGCATCGCGCTGTCCCGAGGTTGGACGTGGCCAGAGGAGCAGGCGAAGCAAAACCTGCCATGGGCAGAGCGGTGTGGCGACACGGAAACGCTGGGTTCTAGTGGGATTTAACGGTCGGGCCCTCCTCTGTGCCGCGCTTCCGCACAGGCGGCACAGCCTCTGCGTCATCCCCCCGGGGGATTAAGCGCCTTTCAGGAAAGTTAAATCCTGGGGGATTTGGGGGATCCTTTCGGGGCATCCAGATTTAGTGCGGCCCCCCTGGGGACTCCTCACAGAGAGCCAGAGCAAAATAAAAAGTTCCCCAAAGAGCTCATCGTTACCGGGAGAAGGAGAATAGCGTGAGGCTGTTGTCGTCTTTCGCAGGAAAGCGTTATTTGCATTTTAAACTGTATCCGTGACCCTTTCTGGGTTTTTTTCTGCATTTTCCAGGCTTTCTGCTGACGCCTCCTTGGCTGAGCAGCCACGGTTTGTGTTTTCCGGTGCCCGGACCGTCGCTGGAGAAGCTCCCGGCGAAGCTGGCGGCCGCTCTGCCAAGAGCTGTGGGCGAAAATTAGTAGAAAATTATTGGATGAAACACATTGAGTGTACACAGGAGGTTGCAAAATACCCTCCTTATTGCTCTTCGGATCTTAATTGGCTGAGAAATAATAAAGAGATTAATAAGGTAGTTAACTCTGTTTAGGGATATTAGTGTAGGGCTTTAAAATAGCGGCAGGGGTCAGGACATGAGCGTGGTCAAAGCCGGTTGTCGTTCTTCGTTAGGGAAACACGTTGGAGTGTTGTTCTAGTGGGGCCTGCAGCACTGTGAGCCCAGCTCTGGTTTCCAGCTCATTTTGTCCTTTAATGGGATTATTTTGGGGACAGGCTTTAAGGAAGGGGGGATCCAGGACACTGTCGGGGATGCTCCGAGTGGAAACCTGCACCATCTCAGCCCGCTCTTTCTCAAACTGGATGTTTGAAGCCGTGTGTAATTCCACCTAAGCCAGGAGACAGCCACTCAACTGGGTGTAAATATTTTGTATTTTCTCAAGCCTGTTTGCAGAACAGCTCTGCTTGGTTTTGTGGATGGCATCAGTGGCGTAAAATCCCTCTGCCACCTCGAGCTGCTGAAAAACATGTGCCACAGGATCAGCTTCAGCCCTCCTCTGCCAAAAAAAAAGGCTTTTCCCAGAAGTTTCAGGGTTTTTTTGAAGGCGGGTGTTACAGACACTGCAAATATTTGCTGGTGAGCCGCAAGACGGAGCTCAAACAGGAAATACTAATATTGACTTGCAGTCTTCGTTACCACAAATGGGCAGGAGAGCGGCCCTTTGCGGAGGGGGAGGAGAGAAACGAGCAGGGATTGATGCTCTAAAAACCAGCCTGAGGATCTTTTTTAACTCAAATCTGTGATATCTAGCAAGGAAATTCCCTCAGAGGGTCTTGGTGCCAATCGTTTGGGCAAAACTAAGAATGGTCTTTGTGGATGAGTTTCAGCAGAACGAGGGGGCCTTGGACTGGAAGCCTGAGCCTCGCAGGAAGAAGACTGGCTGCTTGGTGTTGGCGTTTAACCTCCTTAAAGAGCAAAACCAAGTGCAAATCGCAACCAGCAGCCCTGCCGAGGTGATCTGGAGCTGCCATGGACCGGCCGGGCCGTCCCGTGCCAGGAACGTCGCAGGCATTGCTGGGGGCGTACGCTCGCCACATCCTTGGTTTTGCCCGTGTGGTTATGTGATTGAGTCCGGGGGTGAATTCGGGGCGTTTTCCAGCACCTGGCAGATGCAGGAGCTCCAGGTGCTCACCTGGGAGGCAGGAACAGACTCGGCAGTGGTGGAGCTGCACTGGCGAGAGGTTCCCGGCGGTGATCTGGATCCGCTCGCGAGCGTTTAACCGTGTGGGTGAACCCAGCCCAGGATATTCCTCGGGAACGGGGAGTTGCTCCGATCCCCGTGGGCCGTGGTGCCAGCACAGCTCTTGGCTCACGCGGGACGGCCGCCTGCTCGCTGTGAAGCAGCAGCTCCAGAGGACCACGAGACCTGTTGTGTCTTCTGCTGTAATTCCAGCCCGGCTTGGCGAGCACCACGAGGTGGGAACAGGCGTGTGCCAAGATGGGTGCAGAGGAAAACCGCAGCAAGTCCCCAGCAATGAGAATGGCTAAAAGTTAGGCCTTCCACCCAGGAGAGGGCAGACCAAAGCATTTTCCTGCCAGAAACTAATAAAACTAAATTAGCAGCCCATGCATGAGTTCTGATCTGGGGAGAAATCCTTCAGCCGGGACGTTTTGGAGCTGAGTTTCCAGACATTTGCTTCATCCTGTGCCTTTGTGCTCCCGGGATGCTCATCCGCAACGACTCTTCTCGACTCCCCTTGCTTTCCCAAAACCACGCTTGATTTTTGGGGGTTTTATTTTTTTTTTTTAAGAAAGCATTCCCATGGCAGATGGGATCAGGAACGTCGCAGCGCACTGCTAATCCCCTCGCTAACGTTAATATTTCTCTTTTTTTAGACACGGGGCTTGCTCATCCTCAGTGGATTTTCCTCATGTGGGGAATCGGTGATTGGGCCCCACATCGCTTTGGAGGAGAAAAAGCTTTCTGTCGCATGGGGCTTTTGGGGCGTGAAAGCTCTTTTTACGTCTTGCCTAGTTAAGCGCTCGCTGGGGTGTATTTAAACTTTTGCTGCTTTGCTCAGCTAGGTGTTGTCCCCGCAGACCTCGCTGTGATGAGCCAGGACGGCTCGCAGAGCTAAAAACTGCCAAAAAGGTGGGTTTGGGTGGCGTGGCTGAGCCAGGGCACAGTGTTGCCTCCACCACTTGGCGCTCTGAGTGAGTCCTGCTGCCGAGACGCCTGATGGGTTTGTTGTGAACAGGGAGAAGATTAAAATAGTCGTTGATTGTTTGGGATTTTATTTTTTTGGCTGGTAGAGTGTTTAGTTTTATCGAGCTCTCGATGTCGTAATCCTCGGGCAGGGGAGGCGGTGGAGGGGGGGTTGCCTCATGCTCTGCCAGGTTGAAGTTCCTGGGGAATCTGGTTTCTCCAGATGATCTTCTGACCAGCTTTAGTGTTTGTTTGGGCCCATCACCAAACCAAAATCACGCTAAAAGCGGAGGTGGCCGTCGCCTCACGTGGCTAATGATCTGGCAGCAGCTCCCGCCGCCCGCCTTGGCTTCCCCGGCATCTGGGGCGGCAGCATTGCCCGTGATTCAGGGAGGGCAGAAGCAGTGAGTAAATGCCGCTGGCCCGCGCTGGGAGCTGAGCTTGGCGGCGCTTGGGGCGGTGACGGCACCGAAACGTCCCTCCCGCGGCTTCCAGGCCGGGACCTGAACGCGGAGGATGTGTTTACCGGAGGGCGACAACTCCAGGAGCTTTTAGCCAATATCTCGCTGCCTCAGGCCGGCCCCCGAGCCCTCTGACGGTCTCTGGAAGCCAGTTAGGGAAAACCTGGAGGTATCCATGGGTGGATGTGCCTGTCTGGCGCCGTGCCCACTGGGTGAGCGAGCGAAAACCCTAGTTTTGTGAAACTAAAAGCAAAAAGGCACGTATCTGACGGTGGTATTTGTTAACCACAACAGCAACCTGCTGACAGGGTTGGGGGTTGTTATCCCACGACCTGCCAAAAGAGCAGCTCTCACGCCAAAACACGGCTGGAGGCGCCGACTGCACTTCTCCAGCCCCTTTTCTACCCGAGCAAGACAGGACTTGCTCCCGTAGACGTGTTCGAGCGAGCCCTGCTTGGGTTTCCTTTCGTTCCGTGGCATTCGAACATCTTTCCTGCACGTCCTCTCCTTGGCGGGTGTATGTCCTGGCGGGTAGCGGCGTCTGATGGGGGCACGCGGACACGTTGGTCCCTGCCACTACAACCGTAACCTCCATTCTCACCCTTTTCAGCCCAGAACGTGACTGTCGATGAAATCATGACTGCCTACAAACAAGCCTGCCAGAAGCTGAACTGCAAGCAGATACCCAAACTCCTGAAGCAGATACAGGTACAGCTGGTGCGGGTGTTGTCCCAACACCAAATGATCAACCGCAGCCCTTTATTACACCCGCTGTAGACTTTTACACTCGCTGGTGTGTTGGATGGGAGCAGCAGCTCCTGTTTTAACAGCACAAACAGGTTTTGGGCCAGATGAAACCTGTTGCAGAGAGCGAAAGCGAAGGAGTTCGTTAGCAAAATACTACACGATGTTTATTGTGGTTTTTCCCTGTGTCCATCTCCTCGGCTGTGGTGCCGTGGTGACTGCGGCCCGGCTGGCCACGGTGGATGCTGGAGGTGGGATCCGATGTCCCCGCTGTCCCCCCCAGCCTTTGAGCTGGGGGATGAGACTCAAACGGGCTTGTTCACGAAGCGGTTTGGGCCTCGCGTGTGATGTGGGGGAGGGAAGCCCGCAGGGAGACCGTGACGGGCGCTGTGCTTTTCCCTGCTCACGCCGGGTGAATAAAAATCCCGTTGAAATCCTCAAGCCTGATTGCAGCACTCTGCAGTGTGATGTTTAAAAGCTTTTCGCTTGGCCTGGGAGGGCCAAGATTTTTGCTTTTTTCACCCACTGTGCCTTCCCCAGGCAGCTCCGTCACCTCCATGCGCAGAGACAGACCCTCATCTTCATCAGCCGCCCTGCCTCACAGAGCTCCGCGACCTTGTCCCGGGGAGGGCGCCCAGCTCTCCCTGTGACTCGCATGGATCCAGCCTGCAAAGCGCCACAGGTGGCAGCTTTGATTTCGAGTTAAATTTGATTTTTCGGGCTGAGTTCCCACATCCTCTCTCCATTTGGGGGAGGATTTGCCCATTTCATCACTTTACCTCATTATTCTAAAAGGTTAATTCCCCTCCCCTTCCCCCCCTGCCTTTCTCCTCCTCCTGAGTATGAAATGCTGCTTTATCTTTCGCAGGAATTTAAAGATCTGGCTCCCAGGATAGACTGCTTAGATCTGAAAGGTAAGCCCCTTTTCCATCGCCAAGGGATTTTATTTCTCTTTTGAGCAATTCTGGTGGTTTATTCCACTGGAGCAGCTCTTGCTGGAGTCGTTGTCCCTGCTGAGGCTCATGCAGGCTGGAGCAAGAAAGAGCCTTAATTCCAGCAAGAGCAGAAATATAAGTCCCGGAGGTGTTCTGTACAAGAAGCATAAATGTCCTGGTCAAAAAGCACCAAAACAGCCCTAGAAATAGCTCCGGTGATGCCTCGGGCAGCAAACTGTCCTTCACCACCCCCGAGCACTGTCCTCATACCCCCCATCTCCCAAAACAGCTCGTTCAGGGCTGAGCCGGAGCAGGTTTGCTGGAATAATTTTCCATCTGATGTCTCAAAACAACTTGCACAATGGGGAAACCGGAAAGGTTTTCCAGTTCTCTTTAACACGAATATTTTTGTGAATATGGCTTTTGTGGAGCATCTCCAGGAAGGAGAGGCAGAAGGTTGCTTTCGCTTCCCTGCCAGGCAAATATTTTACAGGAGATTCTTCTTGCAGCAGGCCGGTACGTTTCTTCTGCCTTCTGCTGGGCTCCTTCCCTTCCTAAAGAGCCTCTTTTCCCCCTCTGGGCTGTGGGATTCCTCCCCAAAACAACCTGTGAGACTGGCAGCAAGAGCAGCCACGTAGCAAGGATGCTCTCAGCCCGGGGTCGTCCTGACGAGGTCCTGCCTGGCCTTTCCTGGCCTCCCATGAAACTCTGGGCACCAATTTGGCTCCGGGGGCCACAGTCTTGGGGTTTAATTAATTTATTTAGCATTGGGGAAACCTGAAGCCTGGGGAACCACTTGAGAGCTGCTGTTAACAAACCCCAGAAAACACCCCGCGGGGAGCTGGGGTGTCCCTGTACTGAGATGATTCGCCTGGAGGAGTAACAAACAAGCTTGCCCAAATCCCCCCAGAATAAATCTTTTACAGGCCCCATTGCCATCATTTGGCCCGACTTTGCCAAACCGGATTATTTTCTTACAAATCGCTTGATTGTCGACTGGCTGGGCAGCCGGATCCCATGTCTCCCTCCCCCTAGAAGTGGGGCTGCTGGAGTCCCCGGCGGGCAACTGTTTTCTGCTGCACTTTTGGAGGGGGTCGACAGGGTTGCACCAGACCTGGCTGCTGTCGCCTCGTTCTTCGTGCAGGGGACGGGGTCTGGGGGTGTCAGGAGGAAAGGTGGAGCTTCCACCTTCACCTTCACAGTTTGCTTTGCAGAATCACCCGCTGGCAACCCATGCAGTGTCTAAAAGCAGTCACACTGCTGCTTTTGGGGGAAATTTCCACATTTTTCATTTTGCAGAGATGCGGGGAGAGCAGGGAGGAGCCATCGTGGCTTGTCTGTGGTCTGGCCCACACCTTGAGCCTTGGAGACCTGCTGCAGGGCTGGCCTGAGAAATAAGCAAAAAAATAAGTAAATAAAAAGCCCAAAGTCTTGGGAAATGTCCTCAAGGCAGCTCGGGCCAGCACTTCCCTAAATTGCAATGTGAATAATTTAATTTGAGGGAGGCGGCAAAGCAGCGTGTTTTTTACACGGCGCCCGCAGGGATTTGATTTTGACCCCATGGTGCTTTTATAGAGCAAAAGGCCGTTAAGTTTCTCAGCGGAGCCACTCGTAACGTAACTCCGGAGGGACCGAAGCCGATGAGGGGATGGCTCATGGGGAGACGTCTGGCTGCTCTGCGGGGAGGCAGAAATCCCACTTTTTCATGAGTTTTAGGCAGAAAAAGCATTGCTGCTGGGGCTGCTCTGTATTGGGCGAGCGACTGCACTGGTTTTGAGGTGGATTTCTGAAATCCCCCAAACCAGAAACATCCTTCCCAAAGTCTCTCTGGGGATCCCTCTCCCGGCTTGTGGTGCTGATGACAGGCCCTGCCGCAGCTTTCGGGGCTCCCTGCCATGGCTGGACCTGTGTGTTACCCAGAAATTCTCATCCCAGGCAACACTTTCCATGGCACACGTGGGTCAATGGGCATTGAACACCCACTCGCAGGTTTGAATTCCTCTTCGGAAGTGTTGTTGGAAAGGTGGGCTGCCCCCGTCGCCGTTTCACGCGTGCTCTGTCCTGCAGCTTGGGGCTCCCAGGCTCACAGCCATACGTGCCCAAGCCCCCAGATTCCCCTTTTTCTGCTTTTTCCCCAGGGGAGAAGCTGGATTACAAAGCCTGTGAGGCGCTGGAAGAAATTTTCAAGCGGGTCCAGTTCAAAATTGTCGATTTGGAGCAGACGAGCTTGGATGAAGACGTAAGTGGCCCTGACCTCTCCCAGCTTCTCCTTCCTCTTTCGCAGCTAACACAAACCACACGGGTTTTGTGGTCAGGCCTGAGCTCCTCCTGAGCTGCGACTTAATTTGGGGGGACTCTACTGTGTTTCTGTACCCGTTCCCCTTGTACCCACGCTCTTATTTAGGTCTGCTGGTGCAGCGTTTGCTTCTCCAAAAGGAAGAGGTTGACCACTTGCTCTGCAGCCTGGGTGGTTGCGGAGCTCCAAGGCATTTTAAATACATATTTTTAAAGCTGTTGTGGAAGCTGAGGGAATTGTGTAGCTCTCGGACAGCTTTTTGAGGCTGATGATGAAGTTCACATTCCATCCTGTCCTGACTTGCTCCTTCCTCACAACGCCTGGGGCCCTGAGTTCAGCTCCCAGTGGGTGAGCAGAGGAGGTTAAAAATTAAGGAAGCGGTTAAAAGTTATTTTAGCCAGCTCTGATCCCAAGTTCCCCTCACCCCGGTGCATCCCCTTTCTCCAAGGGTCTTGTTTTTCCTGCATCATCCATACGTATTCCAAACCTGGCTTCAGACCTGTCTCGACTGTGTTTGCTTGAAGCTCTAATGCTTTTTTTCCCCCTGTTTTTCCTCACTTTGGGAAGACTCAGCAGCAACGAGCTTCTCCTAGCTGCTGCCCACATCCAAGATGAAGTGGAGAAAAATGTAACTTGGACATTTTCCTGCTCTGACACTGCTGGCTCCAAGCCGCTGCAGTTTCTCGCTGACCCTGAGGCCGGCCGGAATCCCACCGGACATGGGCACTGGGGGCACAATCACACTGGGCTGCCGGCGGGACTCGTGGCCACAGGACGGGGCTCTTTGGGGGTCTGTGGCCACAGGACGGGGCTGTTTCTGGGACAGATGAGTCCCCTGATGGCACCACAGCCCGGGGAGGAACACGTGGCCGCTGAGCAGGGGACGGGCTGGCTGAGCTCGTGACGTCTTCGGCTGTAAAATGATCCCGTGCTTCGTTCCGCTCATTATCTCGCAGGAGGAACAATGCCACGTTAATAATTTAAACATATCCCATGGCTTCAGAGCTGGACGCCACGAGCAGAGAGCTCGCAAACGTCGACGCCTTCCGCTTTTCCAGTTGCAGTGGAGCGAGACATCTGCAGGGCACGAGGTGCCCGATGCGGCTCCATGTCCGCTGCCAGGGGGAAGACAGCCACGGAGGAGGGTTTACACCAGCCCCCCCGCAGCCTGAGACCTCCCGCTCCCCCCTGCCCCGCCGATTCATTCCACGGCAGCAGCATTTTCCACCCGGGTGCGGCACGCCGGGGCCTTAGTCACCCCGTGCCCAGCTTCCCTGCCGATGAGCGCCCCGGTTCCAGCGGAAAGTCCTGCTGTTCCCGGAGACCTGTTCCTTCTCTTGTTTGCCTTCGTGCTAGGGTTTTCCAGTCCTCCAGGTCTCTCCGCATATTTTTTCTGGAAGCCTCGCAGCACTTTTGTGGCTCTTCTCTGCCCGCTCCGGTGTATGTTTCAGCTCATTTTCTCCAAAGAGGCCCATTATGTAATTAAGCAAATTGTTCCGCTTCTGCTATAGGAGCTTTAGACCTTTCACAGGCACGAGTCCTGCTCTGCTAATCCCTTTCACTCCTAACCCTGCTAGAAGTCTTGGGTTTTATACCTTTCTTGTTTGTTTGTTTTAGCCTGATTGGATTATCGGGTGGTTTCTTGGCGGGAGGAGCATCGCGGCTGCATACAGAGCTGGATGACCCCGCAAGGAGCAGGAGGGTGCTGAGCCAATAGCCCAGCCTCAGCTCAGCTTGAATATCCAGGGAAAAAAAGTAAAAAACAAGAAAAAAGGCCCACATTTTCCCGTGTCCATGGAAGTGTTGTACGTTCCCCAAGTGTTGGGAACACTGGGAATATGAGGAGATGCTTTTTTTTTTTATTTGACATCGTTCAGGAGGCGTTTGGAGGAGCCAGCTTGTGCCCGATCCACTTGTGTCCTAGTGCAGCAAAACCTCATGTTTTCCCTCAAACCACAGTCAGCCTCTGCTGCCCTGCTTAACACAGCTTTATTTTGCAGGGCGCCTCGGCGTTGTTTGACATGATCGAGTACTACGAGTCAGCGACGCACCTCAACATCTCCTTTAACAAACACATCGGCACCCGAGGCTGGCAGGCAGCTGCCCACATGATGAGGAAGGTTTGTTCTCCCTCATAAATATTTTGGGCGCCTCCTTTAACTCCCTGCGGCTACACAGGTGAGTCTCCTAAAAGACTCCCTTGTGCTTCCCAAGACCGTCAATGTGGTTTTGTATTCACCTGGCCAGAAAACCACCTGGTTCAGGAAGACCCGGGCTCAGAGGCAGGGAAAAAAAAATCAGCCCACCTTCCACGAGGTTGCTTAATGCCTCAACGAGCAGCCGGCACGGAGAAAATAGAAATGCAGATCCCAGCAAAAAAAAAAAAAAAAAGATCAGGCTGTTATTCGTGGTGTGCTTGCAGGGTCAGCCTCTCAAGCTGGGTATTAATTATCTTTAACAGCAGGATGACGAGCGCTGGTGTTTGGCTTTGCAGGGCTAATTAACCTCATTGTTCCGAAGGCGAGCGCAGAGGCGGCGGCGCGCTCCCCGCTCGGGGCGCGGTGCGACACCCACCCTTGATCCCCAATTACCCCACGACCTGCTCATTGCATGACTCCGGCGGGAAGACCGCGGGCAATTCGGCTGTGACCCGGGGGCCTTCCCGCCACGCCGGCACCTTTGTCGGGGCGCTGATACCGGGGGTCCCTCCGTGCAGGCAGTGCCCACCCCCCATTTTGGAGGAGCTGGACGTTGCCGTGTGGCGCTGGTTGAGGCCGTAGTGAGGCTTTAAAACCAGCTGCGTATATGCAGGTGCAGTGAAGGAGCTGGAGGTGCCCTCGGCGCGGCTGCAGCTTGGGGCTTTTTAATTTTGGGGGTTGGCAAGGGAGAATCTGGAGCTGTGACAGGGGGTGCGGTAGCATGGCAAACCGTAAATCCACCAAACGGGCCGTTGGTGCGCTGCAGGTGGGCGCGAAGCCAGTGAGACCCCGGGCGAGGGACGTGTGGCTTGATGCCTTCTCAAACCCCGGGTCTGGGGAGCTCGGGTGTTTCTGTAAAAGCTGCGGGGGAACTCTCTAAGACTCGGTTTGGAGTTGTAGAAAGCTCGGATGTGTGAGGATGAGGGAAGCTTTTCTCTGGAGAACACACGTGGCTCCGGTCACCTGAGGCGCATCGTCCCCGGTGCCGTAGCTTGAGGGTGATGGAGTTGTCTGGCTCGGCACAGGGTTACCTGAGCGGTTCCGTCGGCTCTTTGCCTCCTCTCTGGAGCCCGTGGGGTGACCAAACGATGTTTGGGATGGCTGTAAGTTATCCCAGGAGCTCCTACCCAAGCTTGGCCTTACACCCCTCTAGCAAAGCCAGTGAATAAAGCAGGTGGCCGAGGCTGAGCGCTCATCCTTCTTGCATTTTCCTCCCAGACAAACTGCCTGCAGTACCTGGACGCCCGAAACACGCCGCTGCTGGACCACTCGGCGCCTTTCGTGGCGCGCGCCCTGCGCATCAGCAGCAGCCTGGTTGTCCTGCACCTGGAGAACGCCAGCCTCTCCGGACGCCCACTCATGCTGCTGGGTGAGTGCCCCGCTCCGTGTCCTCCAGAACCTCCCCAGGCGCACGGGAGCGGGGCCTCGGGGTGGTGGCAGCGCCAGTGCCTGTCCGGGGGGGATGTCGAGTGTTTCTGTGCCAGCCCAGGCTGCGGGCAGGAGGTGTAAGCCAGCGCTGGGCGGCCCCTGTCGTTAAGCGAACAAATTGGCCATAAATCGCCGCCAAGCTGGAGCTCGTGGTGGTGTTGTGATCGTGATGAGCTAAGGGTTCTGGCAGGCGAGTGTTTCTGGGGTTTATTAGGTTGGCCGGGCTATAAAAAAGCGAGGGCATGTGCCCTGTGTGGATCGAGGCCAGCCCCGTCGCCGCTGCGGGAGGGAAGGTAAAAAGGGCTCACACGGGATCCTACTGCTGGCTGAACACCCCCAGAATCCAGCCCGGGAGTTTTAGCCGGTGTCTTGGCTGTGCCGCAGGCTCCATGTCGCCGCTCCGTGCTCGGCCAGGCGCCAGGGCCCGTAACGGTCCCGAGGCCGCGGCGTGGGGCGCGGGTCGAGGTGCTGGTTTGCCGTCTTTTCAGCCACAGCTCTGAAGATGAACATGAACCTGCGGGAGCTCTACCTGGCCGATAACAAGCTGAGCGGGCTGCAGGACTCGGCTCAGCTCGGCAACCTGCTGAAATTCAACAGCTGCATACAGATACTCGACCTGAGGAACAACCACATCCTGGACTCAGGTGAGGGCCTCTCGCTGCCCCAATTCCCCGGAGTTTTGACCCAGATTTAAGGCGGGGAGGAACTTGGCTGCAGGGCGCAGAGCTCGAGAGGCTGACAGCATGGCTCAGCTGAGCTGAGGGGTGCACAGGGCAGCTTCGATGTGATTTCTGCGGAGTAAACCGCTCGGGTTTAAGGCTGAAGTCGTTAGAGAAGTTTCGTTCGCTTCCTGCGCTGGGCTGCGAGGCGCGTGGCAGCTCCCCAGGGTAGGGAGAGGTGGGGATGCCTCGGAGTCGTGTCTTTTGGCTCTTCTCTGCTTTATCTCCTCTCCTTGCTGGAGCCAAACGAGGGGCCAAATCTAATGTCAACCCAGGAATTGCAGAACAGTCCCAGACTGGACTTCGGTCCTGGCAGGTTCTGGTCAGCGATGCTGATCCCCATGGTTTGGTGGAGGAGCCACCATGCTGTGGGTGGCCAAGCACAACCCAGACGGGTGTCGCTGGCCCTGTTGTGGGCTGGGTCCCACCCTCAGGTACAAATATTAATTTACTGCCTTCCAGGTCAGCTGCCGCATCTTTCGCATCTTTGGGTGCTTAATAACGAGCGGCGCCGGGGCTGTACCTGATGGGAAGTCGCTCGCTGTGGGTTTCCGCAGCGGCGGAGGCGTCGAGGTGCCACGCTCTCACCAAATCAGTATGTTTGCAATGATCGAAAGCAGCACCTGCCCAGTGTGCTCCCTCCGCAGGGGGTTTGTACCCGGCTCCAAAGGCTCCAGCTAATTAGTTTTGTACACCCAGAGGTTTAATTGCTTGTGTTGACATGCTTTGCCCACCACCGAGCTGAAATCAAGCAGCTGGGGGAAGGGGTTTGGAGTGGGGAGGGTGTTTGGCATCACTGCTCGGCCATGGCTTTTCTCCGGCGCATCTGTCCTGGCCAGGATCGGGCGGTGCCGGAGCAGCGGGACGAAGCTGATGGGGTTGGGGAGGAGTTGCTGACCCCCCCGGCTGTTTTCCAGGCTTGGCGTACATCTGCGAAGGGCTGAAGGAGCAGCGGAGGGGGCTGGTGACGCTGGTTTTGTGGAACAACCAGCTGACTCACACTGGCATGGCCTACCTGGGGATGACGCTGGTGAGTAGATCCCGGCACCGTTCAGGGAGCGGCGCCTTCGCTCTCGGAGTGATGGCTCTCCCGGGGCCCGACCTGGGCGTGACGGCGTGACATGCCGGCGGAGGAGAACCCATCCCGTGGCCCCCTCCGCCACCGCTCCCGGGCTTGGAGGACCAGCTGGGGATCAAACCCGCCCGGGGCTTGAGACGGAGCCGCCATCTTTTTCTCCTGGGTACCCGCAGCCGCACACGCAGAGCCTGGAGACCCTCAACTTGGGCCACAACCCCATCGGGAACGAAGGCGTCCGCAACCTGAAGAACGGGCTGATCGGGAACCGCTCGGTGCTTCGCCTGGGCTTGGCGTCCACCAAGCTGACCTGTGAAGGTGGGTGGCACCCTGCGTCCCCCGTATCCCCCCTCAGATTACCGAGTTCTGCTCGATGCCGGTGTGAGGGGGCCGGCGCCGTCATCGCGTGTCCCCCGTCCCTCGCAGGTGCCGTGGCGGTGGCGGAGTTTATTGCGGAGAGCCCGCGGCTGCTGCGCCTGGACCTGCGAGAGAACGAGATCAAGACGGGCGGCCTCATGGCCTTGTCGCTCGCTCTGAAGGTCAACCACTCCCTGCTGCGCCTCGATTTGGACAGGGAGCCCAAGAAAGAGGCGGTGGGTAACGCGCCCGCTCGCCCACCCCTCTTTCACCTTTTCGGGGCCCTCCTTCAGCCCCCCCACAAGAAAACACCATCCTCGAGGGGGGTGACACCGGCAATCTTCTGCTGCTTTTTTTCTCGGGTGAAATTAATTCCTGCCTGGCCTGTGGCCACATGGTTTTGTGCACAGGTTGGCCTGGAAGATAATTTCTGATTTCCCAACGTTCCGAGTGACCGATGGTTTCCTTTCCCTCACAGGTAAAAAGTTTCATCGAAACCCAGAAGGCTCTCCTGGCTGAGATCCAGAACGGCTGCAAGCGCAACTTCGTGCTGGCCAAAGAGAAGGAGGAGAAGGAACAGAAGCTGCAGCAGTCGGCCTCGATGCCGGAGATCGCGGTGACAGAGCCTCTGGAGGAGGGCTCAGCAGAGGATGGCCGGGACGGCAGCGCCGGCTCCGCTGCGGAAGAGGGGGAAGAAGTGGGGGAGACCCCGACGGCCTCGGAGAACGGGGCGACGGAGCCGGCAGAGGACGACGACGGTGACGTGACGGACTCCGATTCGGACACGGATGAGGAGGTGGACCCTGGGTTCGAGACGAAGGACTCGAGCGTCCCCCCAAAACACCCCGACGGCACTACTGTGCCCCAGCCGTCCCCGGAGGAGCCGAGGGACCGACCCCCCCTGCTGCCCATCGCCGAGGAACCACAGCACGATGCCAGCGCGGGGAGTCCCGCCGCCTCTCCGGCCCCCGCGCCCTCCCAGGGCAACGAGAGAAGGATTTCAGTTTCCAGTCCCGGGCGAGGCCATAAAATCTTTGTGGTGACACGGGTGGAGAGCCTGCTGGAGCGAGCTGCCGAGGATGCCGCGAGACTAGGCCCGGCTCCGGCCACAAAACCTGAACTCCTGGCGCCCCGGGCCAACGGGGCCGTTCCTGAACCCGCTGCCAGCTCGGCAGCACCCAGCACCGGCTCCGAGCCCAAGCGGGGCGACCCCTCGGCCTGCGAGAACGTGCCCCACGACACTCCCCTCCCCAACGGCCTGAAGGTGGATTTTGCACGAGCGCTGCCGGAAACGCCCTCGGATGGCAACGGGAAAATGGGGAGCTGTGCCGCCGAGCACGGTAAGAGCTCCAGAACCCAGCCCCCCAAAAATCCCAGCGTCCTGAGCCCCTCTCCGGCCCAAAATTGGAGCCCGGGGTGAGTGCAGAGCCGTGCCCCGTGCTGGGGGACCTTTTCCCAGGGCAAGTTTTAACCCAAAGCGAATCTCCCTGTGCTGAAAAGCTTCATTCTTGGAAATACCCCCGAATGAGGCCGAGCCCTGCAGGCAGCTCGCTGAGATCCCTCGTTAGCCACTGGGCTACCACCTGCCACACGCGTTTTGGGGGGGAGTGGGGCAAGGCGGGCTGGCAAAGGAAAATGGTGACCGTTTGCTTGCAGAGCTGAGCTGCTCCAAGAACGAGCAGGAGCTGGAGGAGCTGCTCCTCGAGGCCAGCCAGGACTCGGGGCAGGAGCCACTGTGAGTGCAGGTGAGTGGCGAGGGGGCCGGGGCCCCCCCGGGAGCGTCCCTGCGGGCCGGGGACAACATCCCCGCTCTCCCTCCTCTCTCTTGCAGGTCCTGGGGGGTGGCTCGGCATTGAGGGGAGGCTCTGGTGTAGCTTTATTCTCTTCCCACTCCACACAACGATTAAGAAACCAACCTCGGGCTTCAGGACAAAGGGTTATTTTTTAAAAATTTCCCCCTCCCCCCCCACCCCAAAAAAAAAACCAAAACACTTTCCTGCCCCTGGACTCTTCCTCAGGCACCCAACTCGCCTCCCCGGGGCAGTGGAGGGAAGAAGAGCAGAGAAAAATGACCGAACTGGGGCCATCCCGGCTCCTGCCCGGCCCTGCCCTCGCTGGACACTACCCGTGCAACTGTCGCCTTTTTTTTTTGTTGTTGTTGTTGGGTTTTTTTGTTTGTTGGGGTTTTTTTTTTTGTAATATCTTGCTCCGTGGAGGAGATCCCGGGGCCAAGGTGACGCTGCATCGATCCCACTGGGAGCAAAAACCACACACTACGGTGACGGGGAGGAGGACAAAGGGCTGCGCCCACAGGGGAGCGGCTGTCACTAAAGATTCCCCAGGACAGGCTGCGTCTGCAGCCATAATGGTTATTTATTTTTGAATTCTTTTTTTTTTTCTTTTTTTTTTTTCATTCATTTGTTTGTTTTCGGTATATATTTATCGTCAGCTGCGAAGTTACTGGGTTGGGGATTTAGAGGATGGTGGTAGAATTCATTCATTCCTTTGGGGCTAAACCTGTAACTCAACTCCTGCTCCTGGGCTGCCAGGAAAAAAAAAAAAATACGAAAAGCATTAATAGACGTCCCCCCCAGCCCCACCATGCAAACAGTCCCCCCCGGGGGGGCTGCGGCATCCAGAAGGGCTGGAAGACCTTGGGGGGCTGCCGGGGCTTCCTCGCAGCCAGCCGTGCCGGCGCGGCGGCGGCCCGGTGAGGTGGGGACACCCCCCCCTTTTTTTGGGGGGGGGATGGGGGGTGTCCAAGTTGTGAACACGCTGGCAGGAGCCACTTCCCCACTGTTCACTGGGACCCCCGGTATCTCCATCCCCCCCCCCGGGGGTCCCCAGGGAAAACCAGCTGGCATGGGGTTGGGCATCTGC